AGTTGATCTATTTTTTCATCTGTTTGGGATAGTATTTATTTAAATATAAATATATAAATAATGCTCAAACAGACATACTGTATGTTTACATGGATGTACATAATCAGAATAAATGGCCAATCRAAATAAAAATGTGTCGTCCTGCCACCCCAGTCGGAATATTTTGATCTGATTCAGCCCAGTTGGAATGAACTTGTAATCCAAAGGTGCAGAATATCAAGGTGAAAGATTGAAGCTGGGAGTTTGTGACTACAAGAAATGCTCTCCCGCTTTAGGAAAAAGCCTTTATCAGCGTTTGTGCAGACAAGCGCTGCCAGATGTTTGAGTTCACGTTGCCTTTAGAGAGCAGTCAAATACCACACGGGCTCTGAGGGGTAGAGTAAGCACAAGTGTACTGCAGGAGACGAGCCTTAATCTGCACCAGATTCCGTCGTGTAAAATGCAATGTTAGGAATAAACGAGAGCATATAAAACACGGAATGCAGTGGCTATGAACTATGTGTGTCTGTGTAAGTGTGTGTGTGGCTCTGTGTGTGGATCTAAGGTCTTGGTCTTCTGTTTTCCTTCGGATGCAAGTGTGTGGGTTGTTAATTCTCGCTCTCTCTCTCTCTCTCTCTCTCTGTCTCTCTTGGCTGCATGTGTTACTGTATGTTTCTCAGTGAAAGATGATGTTCCAACATACAGTATTACTTTACCACCAAATTAATGTCAAAGGAGCTCTGTTATGTGCAGATATTTCACATGTGTTTTTAAAAGAAGAAACAATCAAAGTTTTTGTTATTAGCCCATCCCTAAAAGGCGTCTCATTGGACATGGGAACTATTTCTGTGATGCATGAAGTTACTGCAATGAAATCAAAATCAAGGATTGACTAAAAACTAAGCTATTAGGCCAAMTTTTCTCAACTTGAGATGATCTGAGTTTAAAACTGTCATGAAAGGTGGTGGGTGATGTGTATTCCTGCAATACATGCTAAGCCAGGGGTCTGCAATATGTGGCTTTTTGTACCTCTGCAGTCGCTCTTTGAAGCTATGAGGATTGCAATTTTTTAACTCATAACAAAGGCCAGATTTAGCATTTTTCCTGTCAATTTGTTGGCAAATACGTGATCAATAATACAAAGAGTGAAATGTGTTGATTAGATTACGCTAGCAGCCTTTTGGCCACTTCAGCATTTACTATCCAGCCTTCTTTCTCTCAGATATATCAGGGTTACCTTGAAATACCTTTAAAACTAATAATAATTAGAAGAAGAATTAGTAACAAAATATGTCTGCATAGTTCAGTTGTTTTTATTAAATTTGGTATGAACTAAAATAGTTTTCATATTTAGAAGAATGTCTTTTCTTCAGTCCTGAAGTGTAAAAATAATGATAAATGTTAAAATTTGTTACATATTTTTTAGTTTTATAATGTCACCTACACAGGCTGGAAAAGGCCCCTTCAACAAACTCGAAATGGCCCACGGACCACCAGTTGATAATAACAGTTGTAGCATATTTTGCAGCTCTGGACACATTTTATTAGAGAGCTGAGGAGCAGAAATGTCTCATTTTGATAGTAAAAGTTGCAGATCCCTGTGCTAGGCCTTTACTTAAACAAGTGTTTCAGATGTTCCGGTTCGCCCACTGTCTCTTTCGCTTCAAACTTCTGTCTAACATCTCTCTCCTCCTCTCATGGCTCCGTCCACACACAGATGGCTTTTTAAAGCACCTGTATTATGAGCATTAAAAAATGTTGAGCCTGTCTGGCTTTTTACTCGCTGGCCTCAGACTCAGAGTCAAAGTCAGACTCTGTTCGTTGCCTGTCTGCCTCTGCTTCACACTCTTGCCTTGGTTGCTAGTTTTTTTTTTCTTCTCTCCCTCGTTGCCCTCTCTCTTTCTCACTCCTCCTTTCTGTCTCGCGCTCTGGTCTTGTTTTGACTAAGTGATCCTGCAGTTGAAGTCTCCCAGGAGCGTGCACCACACCCGAGACCAGAGTGGAAACTGGCTCAAGTCGCCGTCAGAGCGAGGCCTGGAAAAATGAAGGCGGGGGNGTACAGAGCTGAAGGATGGGGCTTCTCTCTGTACACATGTTCATGTCTATGTTGGCTGCACCTTTGGTCTTTCAAACCTTTTGGGCTTTGGAAGTTGTGCATCTGCAGCTCTTTATTATAATTTTTTTCTACTTCCATATTTCTTATTCAGCAAATTAAGCAGAAAAGTGGCAGCATTCAATAGATGAAGGGCTTGAGTTTTAAATTTGTTATGAGATTATTGGCTTTATGGGTTAAGTTGGGTTTGCATGAAACAAAAATAAACCCTTTTTAAAGTTAAACCCTTCTACTGAAGGCGTGGAAGAATCGGGTATTCCCTCTGCCCATCCCAGGCAGGAGCCGGGTTTGCTGCCATTGTTTTCTTTTCAAATTCCAAAGTTGCATTTTGTCTGACTCAGTGTTTCTTTTTCTTTTCACCCTGTGCTTTTCTCCTCCCTCTCTTTCTCTCTCTGTTACATGCCTTTTCCTTTATTATCTCCATATATTTCATCCGTCTGCCGTTCTCTGTCATTTTTTCTCCCTCGCGTCTCTCTTTCTTCTGCTTCTCCTCCACCAACAACTTCTAACTCCTGTCTGCACATAGAGAGGTAGCCCCCCGGTGGGCTTTTTTCTTTACTTCYATTTTTCGGGGTGATTGGGGATTGGTTGGTGTGGGTGAGGTGTTACGGAGAGGGCTGGTGGTGGTGAGTAAATGGGTGGTGGGGTGGGGGTGTGGGGGGGCAGTAAAACAAAGAGAGGTTGTCTGCAGGAGAAGCAGGCAGGAAACGCAAGTCTCCTAGGACTCCCCACCACCACAGCCCCCCGTCACTGCTCCTTGGCTATCCTGCGGCCCACACCAGATTGAACCTGACAGCCACTCTGAGCCACAGCAGTATTTTTGGTATTTGTTCCTCCTTACTTCTATGTGTGTGTGCATGTGTGTGTTTCTGTTACACTCTCTTTCATTTCATCAAATTCTAATGTATATTTTTTATGATGTAAGCTGGTGTCTTTTATTTCACTTTATTTGACCGTGTGCAGACTTTTTCTTCATTTACTGGCATCTTGTCAGCAAGTTTTGTAAAAATCACTCTTTTGCTGAAGCCTCGGGGGTTTAGAAAGCAATAATAACCATAATAAAAAGTATAGGCATTTTGGGTAGGGGCTGGGAAGGTTCAATTGTTGGAAAATATCCTGCATCAAAGAAGAAAACCTGTAGAACAAAATGTTRATTGAAAACCCAAGAGAAATTTGAAGTTAATAGATTTTTGCCTTTTTATTGCTGACTTGATTTTATGTTTTAAGTTACAATAACTTTATTTATGAGCAGCCAAAGTTATCATTTTACCTCTGTCCACAAGAGGGCGGTATTATAACGTGTAGAAACATGATGAGCTTTAAAAAGCTTACACAGGTCAAGATGGCAGCTAAAGACTAAACTTGTCTTTGAAGTAAATTAGATTTTTGGTTGCATTCATGCATACTAAAATGCAAAGAATATGAATACAAATGTATAGGTCATTTTTTTTAACATGGCAAAAGGTGAAGCAACATATGCACATATTAAAAGGCAAAAGCAGATTTTTTTAAATGTTATTTGAAAAATTGTCACGCCACTTTTTGTGCCCTATTAAAAAAACTCAGTGATGTTTCAAGGCACAAAGTGTCAGCTAGGCTTTAAAGTTTTTAACAGTTTAACATTCAGCATGCACTGCTGGGAAATTAAACCACCTCTTGACCTTGCAGCAGATCCCATCAACATCGACGTCACACCGTCTCTATCCTCTTGAGAGAAACACTGCTGACAAAAATAAAAAGAATCGCTCACTGTGATGAGTGAGTCGAGCACATCTGACCACATTAATTATCATATTTGCCTGTGTTCTGGCAGTCAGTTTTAGCCTTTAATAATGGAGCTAATTATTGGTGCAGGTGCAGAGTGTGTATAGCTGGGTATTACTCTCTGAAACACAGCCAGGGGAACGCCACCGCCTCGGTTGCATGCACTCGTGTCAGAGTGATTGATTGTTTGTGGCTTCTGTCCAGCTTCATGCGACAGACACAAAGCAGGCAGGTCTCATCCAAACTGGGCCAGTTTGGCCATTTGTTCATGCTTTATGTAAACTGCTGGCATACCCTTTGTGTGTGTATGTTTGTGTGTCTATGTGTGTGTGTGTGACTTGAATCTTCATTTGAATCAGTCCTTTTATTTGTGGTCGGGGTGTTGCAAGCTGCTCAGTCAACGGCGCTCTTTATGAAAGATTGTGCCATTGACATTTTACCCACCACACTGAGCCAAACTTAACCACATGGCCGTGTCCAGATATCCTGTGTAGGAAATTGTTAACCCTTTTCTGATGGATTTATTTGTGTTATTTACCGTCTGTAACTGCTGCGTACCTGTGACCATCTAGAACACAACAAATTGAAATACTTTTCGCCCTTGTGGTTTATGAACCGTCTTTGTGTTATGAATGAATTGAGAGTTTGTAACTTAACTTAAAAGATAGGGTTCTGTGGAAAGTTACGAACAATTAAAATGTCACTTACCTCTTTGAATAGCTTCAGGTTGGAGAAACAGAGTTTAGTTCTGACCAAGCTGATGAGCCTACAGCTATAGTAGCTAACGGAAGGCTAAAGCCAAACTTAGTTATTGCTGTCCTAAAACACATCCATTTGCCTCTGCTCATATAAATCCTCTTTAATAAACCCTATACATGTACTTGTGTTTTTAAGTTCAAATAGCAGCTGGTGCAGTATGAAACTGAAGACAATTTAATGATGTTTTTTTAAACTGTTGGAATTAACTAAGATGGCAGCAGTTCAGTCTTGTGTTTTTAGTTTTTAGTCCATTTGCTAACTCGCTGGTAGCTTGTACATTCACAAAATCAAATCTGTTTTTTTTTAAACTAAACCTGTAAAATAAGCTATTTACAACAAAATCAAATTTCAAGGTGTAAACCAATAACTTTTTGTTTCTTACCAGACCCTTCATATGATGCTGTACGGCGGACAGGGTGGTCCAGCAACATGCACAGTGGCAAAGGTAAGGCCGCAGCTTTCATCAAAGTTTTGTTTAACTCTGGCTTTGCTGCAGACTGTGGGAAAAGGGTTCACTTTGACTGTTTACAAGTCAAAAAGAACGTTATCACAGAGTATGAAGCTCCAGCTTCAGCTCCTAAACAGTTAGAAGTTCACCTCCTGTGCTGCAGACTTTGGATAATGGTATTAGCTAACATCCACAGAGTCTAGACATGTGGGGCAGACTCCTACAGATTACACAGGCCAAAGAAGTTGGTTCAGCCACTGCCTTATTTACTTTGGACTCCTGCTGACGTGCCTTTAAGATGTGTAGTTTGGTTATCTCTGGCCACCCCCATTAATGTTTTCTCTGCATCTTTTTATGTCTCCCTCTCTGTCTCCCGCTCGGCAACCAATGATTGCCTCCCTTTCTCTCCACAGGCTCACCAGTACTAAATCAGAATGTGACCAAGTCCACTGAGCAGCCCAGGGCTCAGCCAGGTAATGGCTCATTTTGTATTGTTATTGGCCAATGTAGAGTTAGCAGGGACTGAAAATGTATTTGTTAGTTCATATATAGCAACTTAGCATTAGACAGCTTGAAAATGCTGTTTATGTTCTGTTGATGATGACAGTCAGGCATAATTTTATTGTATTTATTACAATCTTTTTGGAGTCAATGACTTTAATGGTATGTATGAATACAAACAGAAGACTCAACTGTGTAAGCATCTTTATAAACCAGTAGAAGTAAACACAAACTATCAGTCTTTATATGGGCTGAATTGTTGCATTTTATTCTAACTGTTGAGGCTGCAATGTTACAGTAATACAGTGGCAACCCCCGCTCCCCCGAAAGTTGTCTTGGTTCTTTCTAAAAGCGCCTGCAAATTGTGAAAAAACAAGAATATTGGATGTGGTCAAAAAAAAGGACAATAAATGATGATTTTTAGAGCTTAAACCCTTAGTATGCTCTTAATATGCTCCGAAAATACGAAATATGCTGTAGAAAATTAATTTAATTTACTTTTGAAAAAACAGTAATATGGGCACTCACCAAAATGAGTGACTGACTGCAAGTATTTTCAGTTTCCGCAAAATTGCGGTGATCACCGAAAATAATGAGTGATTAGTCCACAAACTGAAAGATGTCTTTGTGGGGGTTCACTGTACTGTAAAACATTAACTTTTATTTATTTATTTATTTATTTATTTATTTATTTATTTATTGTAAAATTAAATATATTGCTGTTCAACTTAATAAAACACTACTAAAGTTTAACAAACTTTCTTATTTTTCCACAGATCCTTACCAGATTCTGGGGCCTACCAGCAGTCGTCTTGCCAACCCAGGTAAGATCATTGACAAGTTTAAGTTTTTATCATCCATCCACTGTGATTAGACAAAACAGTGAGCAACTTATGTGTTTGTGTCCATTCCCAGGGTCAGGTCAGATCCAGCTCTGGCAGTTCCTTCTGGAGCTCTTGTCTGACAGTGCCAACGCTGGCTGCATCACTTGGGAGGGAACCAACGGCGAGTTTAAAATGACGGATCCGGATGAGGTGGCGCGGCGTTGGGGCGAGCGTAAGAGCAAGCCCAACATGAACTACGACAAGCTTAGCCGTGCACTGCGCTACTACTATGACAAAAACATCATGACCAAGGTTCACGGCAAGCGCTACGCCTACAAGTTCGACTTCCACGGCATTGCTCAGGCGCTGCAGCCACACCCCACCGAGTCATCCATGTACAAGTACCCATCAGACCTAACCTACGTGCCTTCCTACCACGCCCATCAGCAGAAGGTCAACTTTGTATCTCCGCACCCTTCATCCATGCCAGTCACCTCCTCCAATTTCTTTGGACCCACTGCTCAGTACTGGAGTTCGCCCACTGCAAGCATCTACCCCAACCCTAACGTCCCTCGCCATCCTAACACTCATGTGCCATCCCATCTGGGGGGTTACTATTAAAGCAACCCACCCTGACCATTGACCGGCTTTGAAAATCCACCATTTTTACCACAAATGCTGACCTGCACTCCTAACTTCAGCAAAGACTGAACTGAAACTGAACTGAAAAAGACAAGTTGAGTGGGGGTGGGGGGGGGGGGGGTGGGGGAAAAACTTTAAAAAAAACTGGATACTATGGTTCAAAATGGAATACTACTTAACTTTTACAAGACTAGCAACTGATTGTTTTATAGATGCACATCTGAGTTTTCTGTGCCTTTCTTGTCTTCTTTTCTGAAATCTTCACCTATACGTCAGCATATGTTCCATCTAAACGTGTCACATAGCCTGAAGAAAGGTGATGAACTTGAGTTTGCTTGCCTTTTTGCTATGCTACAGTACCAGACATGGACCTGCTACTCATGGGTCTCAAGCTACACCTTTCTCAGTACGTTWTGTACATTAAGCTTGAAAGCATCTGCCTTTGTTTCTTGTCCACTGCCATTTCCTGGTTTCTTCCATTGCTTCCATCCATTTCTCTGCATACTGTTATATACATGTGGAGAGTCCCTTAGAATTTCGTGGACACAGAGGAGCTCGCGTGAAATGGATTTCTTTTTAGCACTGAATAAAAATTTGGCAACTGGAATATGCCATTCAATGTGCCAAACTGGAAGGCCATAGATTTGAGGAAGAGTGACACGCCATATGATGATGAAGCGCTGTATGTTTTGCTGACCTGAATCAACTTAGTGTTTTCAGTGTGTTTTGTGTGGTGCTGAGGGAGACGACAGGGTGAATACGTGCAGCAGAGTTGAGTCGGTGGTGCTGCAGAAGCCAAGTTGAGGTATAATTGCAGCAATTTGTAACAGTAATTCCACCCAGGTCAAATGGTTTCAGTGGGCCACACACAGCGCTGTTAAGTGTTTTCGGTGTTGTTGCCTTCTTAAACATTTCAAGATTGTGTGTTGCTCAACCATATCAGTATTAATGTGAATGTCTTCTGGTTTGTGAAATAATGTGCACAAGGAAAAACCGGATGTGTTTATTTTGTTAAAAAAAAAAGCAAGCAACAATTTTACTTAAATTTGTGCGGCTAAAACAGGAAAGTCCCTTTTGTTTATGTGATTGTGTTGCTATTGTTTTATTGGAAGTTCTGTCCAAAGTGCCTTCAGTTTCCATCATGCTCAAAATCGAAGCCATGTTGCTTACTGAGTCAGTGCCATGCTTTAACTGCTGATTTATTCCATATCTTTGTCATCATTTAGGATGAGACGGCACAAAAATATTTTTTGCCAAAGACTTTTTTGATTTCAGCTGCCACGTTTTTCTCTCTTTGTAGGCCAGTCAGGACCGTACAGGTCAGTATAGAGAAGTAGCTTGGCATAAAGTCATGTTTAAAGACAATCAGCATGGCTGGCTCGTAATATGAGGGCAGTGTGTTTCTCTGAATGTCACTTTTACTGATCATAAAGCCCAGCCAAACGCTAATGAATTTCAAATCGAGATTTCATYGTCATCATCATCATCATGTCACAAATTGTCCAAATTATTTCTCTCTTCAGGTGTTCAGAGCTGTTAATATCAAAAATATTTCTATGGAGTAAATGAAAATGGACACTTGAAAATGAAGTACTTGCAAGTTACTTGGAAGTAAGTACTTTTTTTTAGAGAACACGAACCGATGAAGTATGACGAGATGAAGCGAAGAAGTCCTCAGATTCGCAAACGCTGTGCGTTTGTCAGACCTATGTTTTATTGTTTTATAAACATCAGTCAACTTGGCATTAAAGCAACTTACTGTATAAATTATGCAGAGTTATTTTCATACGTGACACAGTATAAGAAAGTCAAGATAATTAATACGAGTTGACCTCGGTCAAAAATGCAAAACTTTTGAGTCCATTTCTGATACGTAGTTTGTTAAGCATTTGAATTGTTTTTTTTTTTTCTTTTTTTCAATATCTGTACATTTGGGCAATACACTTTAACATTTGTTGTTCTCCTAATGCTGATTTAGCCTTTTTTAAATATTTTTTGAACTGGTTGTAAAGTTCTAAGTGCCTTTAAGTGGTAAAGATATCTTTGTATATATATATTTTTTGTATTCCAAAAAAAMCCACAAATGCCTATTTGTGTCCAAATTGGGATTTCTTTACTTTGTGTGCAAAAAGGTGATGGAGATGGATTGTTTCCATCGTCACACTTTTTTTAATGCCTATAATTCCTAGCTGGCCCTGTGCTTTCAAGACTTTCAGGTATTTTATACTCATTTAAGCAGTGTTATTACTTACATCCAGATCCTTTTGCAGATGTATAGCTTTAAAAGAACAAATTAAAAGGGAATTTGTCCTTTGTAACATAAAAAATATTTTATGTACCCTCAACGGTCATGATTTATAAGCATTTTAAATGAAAAGGGATCTATGCTACTTCATATATGCAATGTATTTTGGATATAATGTGTATATCTTTACAATTAAACCGTTTATTAATATTTTTATTATTATTAATATTATTATTGTTGTATTTCCTGCAATGTATGAAGTAAACCTTTTGAAAAAGGGCTTTTGTATAGGAAAATGTGACCAAATAAATGATTTTACCTCTCTAATAAGCTTCCCCTGTCTGCTTTTGGCTCTAATAGGATGTTGAACAGATAGACCTATCTGCATATTTGAATTGTTGTTTTATTTTCTAAGATTGCATCTTCAGTCCATAGACAAAAGACGTTTTTGATCAAAAATGTCTGGGTAGAGTTTGCATGTTCTCTCCGTGCATGTGTGGGTTCTCTCCGGATACTCTGGCTTCCTCCCACAGACCAAAAACATGACTGTTAGGTTAACTGATAGCTCTAAATCATCCCGAGGTGTGAGTGAGAGAGTCATCGGTTGTTTGTCTTGTTTGTCTCTATGTGTGTGTCTCTGTGATGGACTTGTGACCTGTCCAGGGTGTACCCCCCCACCCCCACCCCCGCACTGTGACTGCTGGATATGAGCACCAGTGACTCCTATGACCCTGAAAGGAAGAAGCGTGTATAGACGGATGGATAAATTATTAGTACATAAAAAATATTTATGTACATTTATTAAGACCACTTATATGTGAATTTAAATGGAATCACATATGGGATACTTTCAACTTTCTTTCTCAGAAGAGAAGGATGTTTTTATTATATGTATATACGTATGTTTCTAATAGAGTTAAATACAACAGTTGTCCAGTAAACCCACCTGTCCTTTGGGTGTGATCTTTGTTGTTTCGAATGTTGTTAAAGAATCCAGCTAAATATAATATTTTGTGTTTATTTAGTGTGGTATCTGACTTTACTTGCTATTATTTTGCCATGGTAATAAGGGTCAAAGGTCAGCTATGAGGTTGCAAATGGTTGAAAAAAAATATGTCCATATATTTTTTTTCTCTAAAAGCTTTGGAGACTTTCTTCTCTTGTTGGCATGTGTTGTCTCAAAGATCACAAGTTGCATAATGTACAGTAAGTCACCTGCAGTCACATAAAGCTGTTTTACCCTTGCTGAGATATAAATTACCGTACAAGACATTAAGAGGGCAGTACATGAACTGTGCATATTTTGCAAAAAATGTGAATGATCATTTAACAAAATAATTTCCAATCTTCTTTGTTCTGTTGAGGAAAAGAAGATTCATAAATACTGAAAACACCATCATATTCAACCAAACACAGCAAGACAAAGTTGATACTTTTAATGATTTTAAAACAGCGGTGTTGGTTTAGTGATGCCACCTGGACTCGTGTAAAATCTAAATGATGGAAATGTCAGTAATGACGGAATGCTGATGCTGTGGATAAACTCATCTACCACCCGGACTGCACTGTTTGTATGTTGCCATGTAAATGTCAAATCCTAAATGAGTTTTTATTCAACTACATGCATTAATCAAACCTTCACATATGAAAAAAAAAAAACTTCTTGTGGTCTAGTGTAATAGAATTTGAGTCATTGAATATCAGCTGTGCACGGCTGACTCAGTTACTCTGAGGCTATTCATTTTCCAATGGAACGCAGTTTGAGTTTTTAAAAGCTTGAAAATTGCCAGTATAACTGCAACATGGCACTTTTTTTTCCTAAATTTTGCATTTCAGACACTTCAATTATATAATAATTTACTCTGGCATGATTGCCAACCTTTCTGGTTGCAGGATCCAACATTAACATACAGCAGAAGTCTTCAGCCCTGTTCCTCGTGATCCACTGTCCTGCATGGTTTTGATCTGTCCCTGCTTTCAACACACCTGACTGAAATGAATGAGTGATTGACAGCCTTCTGCTAAACATGATGACGTTCTGAGTAGGTAATTTAATTATTTGAATCAAGTGTTCCGAATCAGGGAAACATCTAAAACATGCAGGACAGTCACGAGGAACAGAGTTGAAGACATTCGATCTAAAGATTTACTGAGTTCATTAGAGAGGTTGCAAAGGGAGGTTCACTAATAAGACCTTAAAGTATCTAAGCTGTATGTCTTATTTCTCCAGAAGGATAGTTCTGGTATCATGTTTAAAACTTGCTGATGAAACTATGAACACCATCAGTGTTGATTTCACTTCTCATGTGTAGTGTTCATAATCCTGTTTGCTTTCACAACTTCACTGTTTACAGATGAGACGCCAATATAAGGGTTGGCACATGGTCTTTTTTTCTTTCTTTTTTGTTCTTTGACCTCTGTGATCAGCGAATAGGACATTTTAATTTGGCATGACATGACTTACAAAAAATGTGATGCATATTGTCGCAAAAGTTTTAAGTGCAATATTTGATGCTCAGACTACAGTGCTTATATAAAAATATTCACCCATTTTAATTTCTTATGCTTTTACTGCTGTTTAAGTCAGTACTAATTGACTTTTTCTTTTAAACTTTTTCGATGGCAAAAGGTTTGTAAAAGGTTACAAGCTTCGGCAAATGAGACAACTGTTCATTCAACAGCTGCTGCCTAAAGGCCCAGTCACTCTACAACGGGGTGTCCAAACTACAGCCCGTACCGTTTTTATTGGCCCACAGCAAATTCTGAAAATATAATTGAATATGGCCCACACAAGAACTTTGAGCTCAACTCTGTTGCACTTCTCAGTTTCAACACTAGATGGAGCCAGTCACATATGGCCTGCACATGGAGTAACCCTTGGCTGCAGACCGCGGCACGGGGCGGGGTCGGATAACAGGCGGGGTCGGACGTCTGACCCCGCCCTCAACTCTAAAATTAACCAACCCCAGATGCTAAATACTAAAATTAACCACGCCCAATTTTTTAAGCCTCCTATTAAACTTCCCTGCAAGCCATGACCACACTCATTGGACGTCCGACCCCGTCTAGTACGCTAATCCGCAGTCTGCAGCCGGGGGTACTTGCGCACAAGAAGCTCAACTCTGTTGCACTTCTCAGTTTCAACACTGGACGGAGCCAGCCACAGAAACGAAATTATAGAGMAGAGGAGAAGAGAAGAAGAACCTTTTTGTGACTGTGACACTGCGTTCAGTTTGAGTCTCCAGAAATGGAGGTGAATGACAAAGCTATGTTTTTGATTTTTACTCGATAGCATGCGATTAAAGAACGGATGCTACATACACCGCGCAACGTTTTTTTTTTTTTTTTTTTTTTTTTTTTTTGCGGGGAGTAGATGATAATTTTTGCTTTACGGAGGAGCTGCTTGATATGATGAGCCTAAAAGGCACAACGACAGTTTTTAAAAGATAAGGGCCGACCTCCGTGAACTAAGTGACCCTTTGTGGCTGGCAGACCTGGCCTTTTTAGTTGATCTTACACATCATCTGAATACACTGAACAAGAACCTACAAGGCAAAGAACAGCTGGTGCCACAACTGTACACGCACATGAAAGCCTTCTGCATAAAGCTCCGCCTGTTTGAGACACAACTACGAGGCTTTAATGCTGCACACTTTCCTGCGCTGTCTGAAATCAAGTCTGCTTTTCCAAAGACAGGTCTTTCTGCTGAAAAGGAGAAATATGCGTCTGTGATTAAATCTCTCGTGACAGAATTAAACCAGCGTTTCCAAGATTTTTCTGGAATTGAAGAACAAATCAAGCTGTTTTGAACGTCCTTCCTGGTGGATGCAGACAAAGTGGAAAAGTGCCTGCAGTTAGAACTGATTGAAATGCAATGTGATGATTCTCTGAATAGTCAACGTCAGCTTCTCTCCCTCCCTGAATTCTATCAGAGGTGTGTTTGAAATACACACATTATTGATGTATGAATGTATCTCATTATTACAGTAAAACTTATCCATTTATGTTTTCATTATTTTACAGAAAATTGTGTGAAGGACAGTTAACCAACCCCTCACTTAACCTTAAAACCCCCTCGATACAACTTTATCCCCCCCACCCCCACCCCCTTAGAACCCATGCGAAAACTAACCACAGTGACCTTATGCCCAATAGGTGAGTTAGAAATACACACATTATTGATGTATCAAAATGTCACTTCTAGTGTGTGGCCCGGCCCTTTGTTTATTTTTCTGTATTTGGCCCTCACTAAAAAAAAGTTTGGACACCCCTGCTGTACAATATTTTAGACATCTTATTCCAACTTGTGAAAAGTTTGTCCAACAATAAATATGTCTACGATGAAGAAGAAATAAAAAAATCGATTGTAAAACTCTTAGACATAAAGTACATACCATAAAGCTAACAATAAACTGAATATGCAGTATGAGCAATTTATTCAGAACACAACTTGTACAAGTCTGTATAAGTTGTTTAAACTGGTATTGTGTGACAGGGACGCTTAAAGGAAGCAATCTCAACCAACCATCCATCCATCCATCCATCCATCCATCCATCCATCCATCCATCCAACCATCCATCCATCCATCCATCCATCCATCCAACCATCCAACCATCCATCCATCCATCCATCCAACCATCCATCCATCCATTATCTATACCTGCTTCTTCCTTTCAGCAGTCACTGTACAAGGGGTGCGGGGGACACCCTGGAYAGGTCGCAGGTCCATCACAGGGCCAATCAAAGGGTATTCTTAACTAGTGTTTGCCAAACAGCRTGTTTCAGTGGACTAAAGTTGAAATATTACAAGAAAAATCTAAATATAACCAGAATAATTTTGGGAATAAAGTCATAACAGTGTTAAAACACATACAGAAAAAAATCAGTCTTACTACTGTGTTAAAATGAGGAATGTTGAGCATCTTGTGAAATTATACTTTGGTATGGTAAATGGTCTGAACTTTTATGGTGCCTTATCAAGCCCAGTCGGACCCCAAAGCGCTTWACACTTATGGTCATTCACCCATTCACATACTGATGATAGTAAGCTACATCGTAGTCGCAGTTGCCCTGGGGCACACCTGTTTTTGATATCAGTGTGTTTGGTATCAGTGTTATTTAACTACACAGATTAAATGGATAAACTGAAGCTGGACTGAGTCTTCAGATAATGTGGATGAAAGCATATTTCACAAACACAGTAACACAGCGACACTGATGCGAGCCGGCCCAGGAATGGAACATGGACATGCCATGTAATAGTATTGCTTTTTTCTTGTAATATGACATTTTTTTCTTGCAATATTATGATTTTATTCTTTGTAATTAAAAAAAAACATCTTGTAGTCTGGCCTCAAAACACCATTATAGCATTTATAACATATAGAGTAAAGCTCTTTATTGACAAGGACTGATATATAACTTCAATTAAAGCTAAAACATCCAAGGGGGTTGAATACTTTTTGACAGTTTGCTTTGGGGATTCCTCCGAGCTACTACCTTAGAAAAACTTTAGTTTAGCATTTGTAAAATTGACTAAGTTATAGACATGCATGGGTGTCAAGGCTAATTAGTTGGAGATTTCTGAGATATTTTGCTAACAGCCTGGCACAGACACAAATAGCTGCATAAATTCCTTTTTCGAGAGTTGCTGATAATATGACACAAACACATTTTTAGAGTGTAAAAATAGTTTTTATTAAAATTACCCCTGAGAAAAACATTTACAAAAAGACTTTACAAACTTATTTGTGCTTCAGTCAGTTCTGCACGCAGACAAAATAAGTAATGCCTCAGAGAATTGTTCTCTCATAATACAGTATCTTCATTCTACAAAAGTAAAAAAACACAARTAACTCACAGTTTTAAAAGACTGGACCCAGAGTCCAGCCATTTGTCAATAGAAAGCATCACCTTTTGTGATTTATTGAGCAGCTGTGCCAGCCATGGCAGAAGCCTGATCATCCTCTGATTCTACAAGTATTAGTTTAAATGTATAGTTCCAAAAAAAAAACAGTAATTTGTGTTTCCTTTATGTAACCCATATAAATCTTATGTAAGACCAGAAGGCATCAGAAGGCATATTTTAGTGCAAGTAATGAGGGTGTCTGGCTTCTGACTCCCTCCAGCTGTCTGTCTTTGAGAAGTTCATTCTTGAGCATCCCAAACCACCAACAGCCAGGTGTTTTGGGGGCCTGTTTTGCATGTAAGATCTCACATTTTGGTAACATCGATGGGATCATTCATGTCAATCACCGCAAAGCCAAGGTTGTCATGTCCATCCCTGGAATGAAGATGATTACCTTTGATATTATGGTAACAGTATGAACAGTGTGCAGTAGCCACAGGTACCACTTTGGAGAAGTTGGAAAAGTCTACTCTGTATTTACCCTCTTTGTTTCTGGAGATGATGGGCAAAAAGTTGTAGCCCCACATGATCTCCTGAGGGAGGTAGGAGGTTCGCACTTGGCAGGAAGAACTTGTGGACTCTGCTGTGCCGTCGAGGAAGACCACCAGCTCAAAGTCTTGATTGTGTAATGTGTCCACAGCCATCTCAAAGAAAGGGCTGCTCTTGTCAATGATGTGGTGCAACGTGAGAGGACATACAAAGAAAAGGTTGTCCTTCCCAGCATCTACCACAAAGTCAATGTTCACCTGATCCATGATGATGGTCTCCCCATCTTGTGTTGTGGTCGTTCTCAACAACTTGCCATAAATCTGGCTCCCAATCATCAGGGTCTTGCGCAGGTTGGCCACTCTGATTGACAGGCAAAGAGAATCGTTTTTGGGACAGATGACAGCCATCTCACTGAATGTGATGGTTTTCGCCCTCTTTTTGGGTAAGGAGATCTTGGCCAGGACGACTCCACACAAGAAGCAATTGATAAATATTCCAAAAAGGGTCTGGATGACGATTATAGCCACACCACCTGGGCACAAAGGTGTGATCCATCGTGCGCCGTACCCAATGGTTGTCTGGGTTTCCAACGAATAGAGGAATGCTGAGGTGAGTCCATAAACGTTCACGACACATGGAGTGTGATTTGAGGGGGGGTTTTGCCACCACAGATCTCCATTGTTTTTGGCGATCCAGTACCACAGCAGTGCAAAAATGAACCAACTTAAGGAGAATGATGCGCTGAAAAAGAGGAGGACAAAACGCCATCGGATCTCCACAAAGGTGGTCCAGAAGTCAGCCAGGAAGGCAAAGTGTGTGCTGTACTTGATGTTCCCATATTCAATGTTGCAGCGGCCATCTTTCCTCACTAGCCTGGTCTTTCGTCTCCTCCTTTCCATCATATAGTCTTGGATACGTTGGCTTATGGAGCTCATTGTTGTCTACAAATGAACAACCTGTAAGACAATTAAATGGGATGATAAATACTGAGTTAATGTGGAAACTGCAAGTACTTAATAGAAATTTGGATACTAAGAACAGAGTTATCCTAAAATGAGAGTTAAAGTGTATGTTCAGAGGAGCTTTTCTGTCCCAAAACAGTTTTATCACTATACAATATCTTCAACGATTGCAGCTAAAATCTGAACAATTGTAAAAAAAAAAAAAATTCCACTAAAGAGTCACACATGCCTACACTAAAAAAAATAACTAATTGAATTTTTTGCCCTGGTATACATTTCAACATAGAAAAGAAAACTTTGTGCCATTACAATGTTTGTCATTGTTGTTACAAATAGAAGTAAAAGAATAAATCTCATCAGTTTTACTAAAGTTTTGACTTGTAATATATATCTCAGCATCTGGTAGAAATCGTGGTAAAAAAGTTTCCAAATAAGTTTGACTTCTTCCCAAGTTGTGCAAATTACTGCCTCCGCGTCACGCTTATTAGTGAAACACTACGAAACAGTGAGTTTCAGGTTTTTGCTGGCAATGCTCAAATATCACAACAGGCTGTTTTGTCAAAAGGTATCAAGTAACCATACTGTACTTATTACTTGTGAGCCCTAATCCTTCTGGAAGTGGACCACGTCACTGCACACCTCTTTGGGTCAGCAGGATTTTATGCAGCATTCAGTAATTCCAGGTCTTAAATGGCAGGGCAGGTACAGTGAGTTTCTAAATTATGGCTTTGCATTAGAAAATAACTGCATTTACAGATGAAGGCATGCCAGTAGAAAGTCTTTACAGGCAAAATGAGCCTACCTAATAACACAAATCAAATTTAACATCACCATTAAAGGTCATTAAATAAAGCAAGGAATGACTGTTCATGGAAATATGTCTTGTACTTTATTGCTATACTGACTGAATGTGTGACTCACTCAGCTATACTGGAAATAAAAATTTGTATTAATAATTCACTCTCTACTCTGACATAAAAAAGCTTTGTTGCAGTTGAGTTGTATTAACCCATTACAATGTAATCCCATCATAATCATGAACACCATGATGGTGTAAAATAGAAGGCAGTAATAGTGTTTTGTTCAAATTATGTAAAAGATCAAAGTATAAATGTCATATAGTTATTATTGAAGCAGACACAGCATATTATTTATCAATTCTACAACATCATCAATTCTAGATCATTTATATATATACATATATAT